CTGAGGAACAGACACGAGTCCAGCGTCAGTTAGCAGCCCTGCCAGCTAAGGGGGCGAGTCAGCTGCAGGAATCGCTCGGCCCCGGGGCAGCGGTCCGGCTGCGGGGCTCGATGAGAGAGGAGGTCAGTACTCACAGGCAGTCCGCGCTCCCCCTTCACGGCCTCGCCGCTCCCCACGCCCGGGGGGCCCTGCCACACAGGGAGAGACGCTCAAGACACAATCCGCCTTTCAGGGTGATACAAGCTTAGTGTGGTGATCAAACCTGCTGCAGTGGACTGTAACAGTGTCATTGCCCAGAGAAACTGTAGGTGGTAAAGATTTCACACACTTAATAATATCTAATTGTTCCGGATTGTGGGGAGGGTCACGTGGGGTTTTGGTATGTATAAGAGTGTGTCTGTACACCAGAAGGGTAGCAGCTGTGTCAGTTACCATCTGAGCCACAGCTTTTTTTATGAAGGAGACAGTTTTGATTTGTTTATCATTTTGTGTCACATCTTAATAAATCCAGGAACTGCTCCAGGATCCCTGGGAATCTCTCCTGGAGTCAAGAGACTCCCAGGTGTATAGGTGTGATATTCCCCAGTGTGGGATCCTGCACACCGGCCAGGAGCGGAGAGATCAACTAGGGCTGATCCTGCAGATGCTGTTTCTTAAAAAGCTCATGTATTGTTGTAACCACTGGAAACCATTTCCACATCAGCTCTACAGGGACGCAGTACAGCCTTGATTGCTATAGCCTGTTATAAACTGACTTTTACTAACCTTTTTGTGACTAAAATATTTTAGGGCACATTAAGGCAGATATCACAGCCTTCTACTCAGACAAACCAAGAAGGAAAATTCACTTCAAAAACATCTAGTGAGCTGATTAATAAAACACTAGTAAAAATGAGAAAAATCATAAACACAACCCTATCTTCATGTGGGTGAATCCCTTAATTAATCCTGAAAAAATCAACGTCCCAGTAATCCTGTCATCATCAAGAAATCTGTCAATCCCTCACTGCAATAAAGGTCTAACAGCGCCCCCTGCTGAGGGCAACGAGAACTGCTGCTCCTCGGATCACACAGACGAGGGCGGCCTGTCTTGTTCTGGGGGAGCCCCAGTTTACTGGCAGCTCCCCCAGGTTTCCACCCTGTCCTGTGGGCCGCTGAAGGCGGTGAAGGTGCTCGCCTGGAGGCACAGGCAGCAGCCCCTGCAGAGAGGAGCCCGAGAGGGACAGGCTACAGGACAGGGCTGGATTGTGGATCATTTTCAATATCACAGGTGTAAGATGCAGTTTATTTATTTATCATGAAAAGATTTGTTTTTATAATTTGCTGGTGGTCTTGCACTTTTCCACATTTTTACTGACTTATGCAACAAATATCAAACCTTCTCTAAAACCAGCTTTCAGTTACATTGTGCCGAGGGCAGAAATAAATCTGAAGCCGACTGTATGTGGCCGACATGAGCAAAATAGTTACTAAATTATCGAGATTATCCATCACACAACCCACACACACAAGGGGGAAAACCAGGAGAAGATTCCCAGTTAATAAAACAGAAAAAATGTGCTCACCCTCTCACCCCTCTCTCCTTTCTCTCCCTGCAAAGACAGGAAAGGCATCAAGTTCACTGGTGCCAGAAACATTCCATAACACACCAGCACTGGGAATGAAGCAAACTCTGCTGGCTCAGACCTCCAACAGCACACACCCCCCAGAGCCCAGAGCTGCAGCACATCCCCCCTCACACTCCCTCACAGCTCCTCAGGGTCCCCCAGAGCTGCAGCAGACACCCCCTCACCCCCCGTCACAGCCCCCCAGAGACCAGCAAATGTTTCCAACCTTGACTGAGACCCCTGGGCTGCCTGATAACCCTGGCTGGCCTGGCGATCCTGGAGGTCCCTGTGGCCCAGTGGCCCCTCTTGCTCCTTCAGCTCCTGAGCGCCCAGGAATGCCCTGCAAATTCACGACTCAGAGTCACCCAACACAGCCAGTGCACTGCTGCTACACAGCCAGGCCACACTGCAGCCAGTGGCTGCAGCAGTCACATCACACTGCAGCCACCTCACAGTCACATCACACTGCAGACACTGCACAGTCACATCACAATACAGGCATTACTTGTGCAGGCAATCTCAAATACATTTTCTGCCATGCTGTTCGATGTACCTGGCCGAATGAGCACAGTGCCCAGCTAGGCTCCACATGTGCTTCCCTGTGTCCATCCGGGACTGGTCACTCACCTGCAGGCCTGGAAGTCCAGGTTCTCCTTTACGTCCAGGCAATCCACCACCGATTGCCACACCCGGATCCCCCTGCAGGAATCCGGAACTCCGTTACAGCAGTGGACAACCTCACTGGGAATCCAGTGGGATACTGGGAGCACTTGGATTGCGGCCAGTGTTCCAGCCTCTGGAAAGTTACTGTGGCTCAGGGGATACTGATAAAGCACTGGTAGTCAGGCTGCATGTTTTCAGAAACACCAGCATGGGAATATAGCTAGATATACAGCTTCACCTCTAATGTGATGAGATTATGGTAACTGTGGGAACACTGGCACAACCTGCAGGAGAAACAACATTAAGGACACTGCTACAGTACAGCTCTAGGAAAAGTTCATAGGACATTACTATCCAGCCTAGAGTGGGAATGGTACCAGGATACTGGTAAGTCATTACCAGAATGAGGGCTTTAGGAAGTTACAGAACAGAACTGCCCACGGGCCTGGTTCTGACCCACTCACCCTTTCACCCTTCTCGCCCTTCAACCCCACTGGCCCTGAAGCACCCGGCCCCCCCTGTAATAACAGAAAAGAAGAGCACAAGAACATTGTGTTTTAGTGCACAGTTACAGCAAAGCTAACAGGCTTGAAATATCCACCTGTAACCAGCAGCAGGTAAAAACAATCTCAAGCAGATCAAAATCTTTTGGAAGATGTAAATTAATAAATATGGCTAAAACTCACAGGGTCTCCTCTGCCTCCAGGCAAGCCCTGACTGCCCTGCAAACAACAGAGGTAAAGAGTCACCTTGCAGCCAATAGAAACAGAGCAGGCATGAAGAGATCCCACCCACTCATATCTGGCCCCGCCCTCAGCCCAGCCCCGGTCAGTACTCACAGGAAGTCCAGGTGGCCCCGGATTCCCCGGTCGTCCAGGCGAACCAGGTGCCCCACTCAGTCCCGGGAAACCCTGACGAGAGAGGGAACAGTGTTTGCAGTGATTCAGACTTCGCTGTACAACCCCCCCCGTAAACTCACTTGAATGCTGTCGTACGGCTGACATAATGACATCTAGTCGGACTTAGATGCAATGTGCTGTACATACTTAGAAGTAATGTACCCTTTCAATACTGCCTCTACTATGCTACACTTTTCATTCAAACACTCCGCTGGTATTAAAACACACTCACCCTCTCTCCCTTCTCCCCAGGCTGCCCGGTCTGAGACCCCTCGCTGTTCCCTGGCAACCCTGGGGGCCCAGGGGGTCCACGTGTTCCATCCCTTCCTGGAAGACCATCTCGACCCTGAAATACAGACAGGCAGCAACACACAGACACAGACAGGCAGCAACACAGCACAGACACAGGAGGCAGCAATACACATACACAAGAGGCAGCAGCAACACACAGACACAGGCAACAGCAACACAGCACAGACACAGGAGGCAGCAACACAGCACAGACACGGGAGGCAGCAGCAACACAGCACAGACACAGGAGGCAGCAACACAGCACAGACACAGGAGGCAGCAACACAGCACAGACACAGGAGGCAGCAACACAGCACAGACATAGGCAGCAGCAACACAGCACAGACACAGGAGGCAGCAGCAACACACAGACAGCAACAACACAGATACAGATACCCAGTCAAATACACATAAAAATACACACACAAAAATAGAACTATGTTAATGAGGTAACTGCTGTCCATTAAGAAATTCACAGTAACCCCAGCTCCATGTCTTTCATGTACTTGTGTATTTTGTTAAAACCACTGTTTAACTGGGAGACGGACGATCACTCACAGGCTCTCCTTTCTGCCCATCAATCCCATCTCTGCCTTTCTTTCCCTGAAGGAGAGATCAATACAGCCCATCACTGATCCACAGAATCAATTAAATCCCCAAATCAGGAGGTGATCGACCAATATGCTCCACGTTCCAGAATCAAAACACTTTTAATAATCATTTTAACTGCAGTGTCGTAAGAGCAGCAGTGGCTGAACACGGGCAGCTTCCGCCTCATGAATCAGTGATTCTGAACGTGGTTTAAAGAGAGAAACAGGAGAACGGGGCTCCTTACCTTTTCACCTGGTTCTCCTTTCTCACCCTGCAAGAGCAAAGGGGATAAAGAATGTCAGACAGCAACAGACAGGGGGCGCTGTTTCCTTTGCAGCACCTACAGAGGAAGTACAAACATCCCGGCAGAACACAATACTTGACGTGACGCCACAACACAGACAGCCAACACAACACACAACACAATATACTGCATTTTACAGCCTGGCCACAAGCACCAGACATCCAACGCACTTTCCGAAATGACAGGACACTGATGACTCCATGCTCCAACTCACCTGTGGACACTGCACTGTGCACTGCTCCGGCCTGGGCACCTGCAACACAGACAGCCTTTACTGCAGCCTCCTCCCCCCACCTGGCCAGCTGCCCCCTTCGAATCGCCCCTCTCTCAGGCCACATCCGTCATTCTACTGTCACGTGCCTCCGCCAGCCGACCCCCTCTGCCCCCCTTGAACTTATAACCCCCTCTAGCCCCCCCTCAACAGCCCTCCAGCAGGATGCTCCCGCGCTCAGGTTCGAGTGCAAACAGAGGGTAAGAGGGGGCTTTGCAGAGTTCAGCTGCTGTGGAAGTAGGAGTAACAATGGAAAAAGTGTCTAGAAAATGAAACAATCAGACTCTCCCTTGTGGGGGTTGGGGGTGATAAAGCCAGTTTATTTGAGGAAAGGTCTCCTGGGGGTCCTGGAATCTGGAGGGTTAGTTTGATGCTTTTCTACTCTGTTTCCATGCACTCAGATACCCAGCCCGTCAGCCAATCAGATCCCTCTCCTGCACGACCTCCCTGAGAGGTCACTGGGACGCGGAGAGTGTGGGCAGCTCCCAGTTCCCGGAATAAATCCCGGCACATGGATCCCAGCCAGGCAACAGTGCAGGGAGGGGCTCTGGGTTGCTCAAGGCTCTGGAGCAAAAGCAAGTCAGCCTTGCAAAACTAGCTTCTGTTCCTCCGGAGTTAGGAACAGTGAGAGAATGGCCGTGGAGACCGAGTGAGGACAGAGGCTATGTGAGCTGTCCAGCTCGGGGTGGACTTCTGATGCAAAGTGGCCCAAAACGCGGGAGAACACAGGCCTCACACCAGGCTCACACCAGTCCGGGACCTGCGGTCACTGTGGTCACTTAGGTCAGTGTAATCA